TGGGAGGGCCTACTTTGGTGTCACTGAAAATTATCAGAGGGTGTCCACATTCCAACGGCTCCATCCAGGGGGGTTATGGGATATATATCGACTATGCTGACACTTTGTGCAGGGCATATGCCACTTTTTGTTGCTACGGGTATTGGTTTGGGGGTAGTGAACAGCCTCTTGGAAAAAAGAACATTGACCCACCACATTGTCACATTGCTTCAACCCTGCTTCTTGCGCTCGCCGCTGGATCATAGCCAGATCGGCAGAAAAACAACTCTGGTTCCCGGATCCCCCAAAACGGGGCTGGGTTTCAACCAACCCCTCCCAGCAACAAATTGGTTTAAATGCACTGGACCCCTCAAGCTGTTGTTTTCGCCGAATGTGCCGACTGGGGACACATGGGGCATGTGAGGTCACGCGACATGAAGTCGCTGCTGTCTTTGACCTTTGACTCTTCGAAGGGGCGTTTTCTTTTGCAGCGTGCTCTGAGTCTATTTGGGGCCAGTGGCTTGTTTCGAGGGGTGCATGAAAGAAAGTAGGGTGCAGGTAGATTCTGGCCCACAACTCCTGGCACCCGCTGCTCCAAGGTATGCAGCCCCAAAATCCACCGAGTGTTCTTGCCCTTGGGTAAACAGGGCGGTCATTCTTCACATCCCCAAGAAAGCGTAGCTGCCTTTGCTTGGTTTCATCTGGGCTTATAACCGAGTACACCGCAATTCGCCGGTTTATTACCCCCCTTCACCAACCATCCGCCCACAAAAACAACAAACAACCACCAGCTTTTCCATGCCTGGATCGCCAGTTGCTGTTTTTTGTTTTCATCTACTTTACCCCAAAACACAGCAACGGTGACATACGGTGACTGAAAAAAACGGCAGCTTGGCTATCCTGGTGGGCACCCCTCTCCCCACCAGGTGCGTTTTATCCCACTCGACACGCGCGTCGAAGAGCCATGGCTCCATCGAAGATCACCGCGCAAGCCTGGGCGGAGAAGCGACGACAGCAGGCGACCAACGCACTCCCCGAGTTCCGTTTCGGACGTGAGGCACTTTTTGGGTTTCGACCAGTTTAGTGGTGGACAAAAAAATGGAGAGTGTTTTAGATTTAGAAGCCCTTGACTTTTGTTGGCATCCACTCAGGAGGTGAGAAGCCCCTAACCTGGACTTTTGTGGCCAGTCCACTCATGTCCACTCAAGAAGTGAGGCACAGGGCGCCAGTGCAATGCAAATCGACCGTCTCTGACCTTTCATCGTTCCCCGCGGTCCGTGCCGAAAAGGTGCGCGCCTTGAATTTCTGCTATAGGGGCTAAGCCTCCGATAAAATATGGGCCAAACAATCTTGGCAAAGAAGTCGAGCAAAAAAACCGAGCAAACAAATCCGGGCAAACAGGATTTTTTGAAGTGGTCCCCAAACCATCAAATTTAAGATAACGTCCTCACAAAAAAGTGCGGGCAACCAGTCACACAAAGGGGGTTGCCCACAAGGGGCCCTGAGCCTCTTTTAGTGTGACTGTTTTGGGGTTCTCTTCAGTGGCGGTTCACCTAACCAAGCTCCAGGGTAGCGGCCTTGGATCTAGGAAGTTCATTTTGCCAGTGGCCCCCAAACAATTAAAATTTAAGATGATGTCTTTACAAAAAAAGTATGGGCAAACAGTCACGCAAAGGGGGGTGCCCACCAGGGGCCCTGAATGCGACTGTTTTGGGGTCCTCTTTAGTGGCTAACCTGTTTGGGTGTTGCTCAAACAAAAGGTCCTTGGCAATACTAAAGTAAGTGCTAGGAATCTGAGAGTCAGCCTGGGCAATACTAAAGTAGATTTGGCGACTTCTAAAGTAAGTACTGGGAATCTGAGGGTCAGCCTTGGCAATACTAAAGTAGAATTGGCAATACTAAAGTAAGTACTGTCCCTCCCAGACCCCCAGGATCTCGCTTAAAGAGGGTCCTGCTGATTGGTTCCGCTCCTAGAGGGGGGGGGGGTGGTGTAAAGAGGGTCCAACATTACTGGGATAAACCGCCTAAAGCGACTGGTGAGGGTTTTGTTCATCGCCTGTAGTTTTCAAGTTTTTCAAGATGTCAAAATCAGCAACTCGGGGGATGATATGTCCCCTTCAATGCGACCTGCTTGTGTGTGTGTGTGTGTGTCAGAAGCTGGGATGGCTTCCCTACTGGGCCAAACTCATAGTGTTTCCTTTTTGCACATGCTTGATTCCAATCGCCCATCTTCCAACCTTAGAGAACCTTTGATAATTTTGGAGGACCGTCCTCCTGATGAAGAAACCCCGCGTCCATGTCCAGTCCTGGAAAATCGGGAGCTATTTACCTCCGCCCATGTTGTTGGTGGTTTGTTTGTGGATAGAAAGAGCAACCACCAAAACCGAACTTGTGGCAGGGCGCAGGTTGAAGCCGGCGGTTGTTTTGCCGCTTGGCTCAGTTGCCCGAAGCCGGCCTTTGGACCTCCTGTTTGGTTTACTTTTGAGTGAAGGTTCCCGAAGGTCCTTTTATTTCTGGGCCTTTGCGCAAGTGAGTTTTGATGTTAACATGTGTTACCCACTGGTTTTGCAAATTTCTAGGGGTACCTTCCCCATTCTAGCCTGCCGGCTCTTTGGGGTGCGGGCAGGTGGAGGCGGCCATCGCCAAGAAGGCGCAGAAGGAGCTGGGCGAGGCGCCCCCGCCAGTGGGCGCAAGCGATGGATCGCTGGGCCATGCGGGTGGGCGTGTCAAAGGGGAACCTAATGGGAAACCGGCCATTTGAGGGGACCGCTCTTTGCAGACACTTCAGAAAGATGTGGAGGTATCTACCTACAGATGCATTATATATACATATATATGCACACAATCGCTGTTTTGGGGGCCACGGTTTTGAGAATCGCCCAAACTGCCTAGTGGGCGCCTTTCAAACAACAGTTGCAAACACACAACTTTCCATGGCATGCCCTCAAATTTTCCATCCTTGTCATGTTTTTCAGTTTTCGCTTTCGCAACCTTGTCGCCTTCTGTGCTTTCCTGTTCCCATTTGGGTGTGTGTTTTTTGGGTTCCCCCCAAACTGGCTTCGGTTTTCCGTGTGGTTTCCCCTTCAAGCCACACCACGGGTACTCTTTGGCCTAGGGGTGTCAGGGAGTCAGGGGCCGCAGGAATTCAGAAGGGTTCAGCAGGCAGCCAAAAGCAGCAGGGCCTTTTTACCTGCTGGGTTTCCCTGTTTGGACTATTTGGGTGTCTCAAAACAGGAAAGCAACAACTGGTTGGTGTCCTGGAAACCATCCAAAAGCTGTACCCTATATTGAGGCGGACCATTTTTTAGCCAAGTTCCCAAATTGTCCACCTTTAGAGTGAGAAGAGTGCAACAGTTGCACAGGGCCCCAATTTGGGGTTGTCATGCAGAGACATTTGACCATGGAATCCCTAAAGGGTAGGTACAGAAGGGGTGGGTAGATAGCCCTGCAGATCCTTAGGGCTTTCTAGATCCTTAGGGTTCCTTGGGGAGCATTAGGGAATCACTCCCTCCCTTGGACCACCCTTTTGTTAGGGACTCCATATTTTGACCAACTGTTGGCATTGGAAGGGACGCAAGCGGACCCATGCTTGATAGGTTTGCGTTTTCTTTGAGGCTCCAACTGAAAAGGTTGCTTGAAACAGAAACCAACAAAAGACAACGACATGCAACGTGCAAGTCTGGTGCTAAATAGCCCATGTATTTTGTTAGTTACCCGAAGGGAAACCAACAAGGGATGGGTGTGTTCGTTACATATGGCTCCCTTAAATTATGTTGGTGAAGTATAGTTTGCCCAGCTTTCAAGTTGTGATCTGATGGGTTGTTCTAGTGGCTGGGTCCATAGCAGTTTTGAGCTCTGGAACCTCGAAATTGAAACCAGCCGGAAGGTGAATCCCGCGGTAATCCTTCATTTTTGGTGAGCACCCACTTGCTCAGCATGGTGCTTGTCAGGTGGATGGACGTCGTAAAGTTTGGGTGTTAATCAAATTGAGTTAGACTCCTCCAGGTGAATTGGATTCCGTTTGGAAACCCATCCGCAGGGAAAGTGCCAAGAGCCTAAATGGGTTCTAGCAACAGAAGGGACAATCTGAGTGATGTGATTGTTCATGTACCTTCAACCCCACAAGGGATGCATTTAAGATTTTTCCAGGCATGGATCGCACGCATCTACCAGCCATGAGCATCTCAGGTGACCTCGGACCACACCTTCAAGCCCAAGCTGAGGATCGGGTTTCGAAGTCGCCGCTGTGCGAAACGTTTCGGTTGAAGAGTGGCGAGTGGCGGTTTTGGGGAGATGCCGTATTGTGTACTTCTGTTTTGTGTTGCTTTTGGTAGAATCAGAAACATGTGTCTTTAGTTGTGTATTACTATTGATTATGTGTCTTGAATTGGGGGGTCTCCTCCAAAACTAGTTTACATATTAGGGTAAGCTACATATGAAACAGAACCAGCAAGTATTTTTGGGAGTACTCCAGATATGGGCCAAGTTCTGAGTCAACATGTGGTGGCATCTTATATCCTAGCCCTAAGATCATAACAGAAAATATTTGAATCCTACTGTAGATGGACAAGTTCCTGCATCAGTTCGTTGGTGGTTTGTGCCGTTATATCAGTTGGGTCTCATCCATCCCAACTGCAGAATTGTGTCCATCGCACCTCGACCAAGTGTTCAGGTCCCCGAAACCACGTTGAACTTACACGCAATGCCCTTAACGTGTGCAAGTCAAGACGACCAAACAAACATGGGAATTGTGCCATCTTTTTTTCACCCGGGCGTATCTGGTTTCATGGATTGGAATTCCTAGATACATCAAATACACCTTTGTGACCAAGCACCAAAAGGCAAGGGTTGTTGGGCACTGTCTACTCCAGATTCGCCCAGAGTGTCCAAGTACCTTCTAAGGAGGTACTGAACGACCCCTTTTTACCCCCGAAAAGCCATCAGAGGTACCAAGGGACGGACCCTCTGGGCTGGAAGAAAAATCGCGCCCGCGCTCCGCATCCGCCTTGTTTTTTTTGCCCCAAGCACGAGCGCATCCCAGCCGCCGGCCCCCCGCGATTTCTCGCCATGGCCGGAAGATCCATCCCCAATGGATTGAAGAAGCAGATGCAAAAGGCCACGGCGCCTCGGATTTGTTGGTGGCGAAGCGAGGATCATCCGGTTCCTTAGCGTCTTAGCTTCTTAACGTGTTTAGCGGGGGATCTGAGGACAATTTGGAATCTATCTGCCTTGTTTTCTCTTTCGGAACCTTAGGTGTTGTTTCTCTGTTTGGTTTTTGTGGGAGGGGGTTGCCACCTAATCCAGGATGAAGTTATTTGTTCATTTCCAATCACTTGGTATTTTTGATTCGGAGCTGTTTTGATTTGCGACCTCACAAGGATCTGGGCGGGCCACCAACGCCTCATGGTGAAGATCTGAGCTCTCTTTTTTGTGATGTTACGGACAATGGGGCTCTCGGGCAGTTTGCAATCTGAGCTTTCTTTTGTTTTGCGACTTCACAAGGGGGGTTATTGGGCTGGCCAACCGCTAGAACTTCCTCAGGTCAGCCCTATGAAGCGGACCCGTTAACCTATCAGACATGATTGCTTCCAACCAACTGCCAAAGAGGTAGCGAAGCGCAGATATCTTGATGGATCTTCTTTTCGACCCCAACTTCCCTCTCAACATTGTGGTTTTCATGTTGGTTTCTCTTTAAAACCATAAGAATAGTGCACCTTCGAAAAGAGCCACGCTCACATCAAGTCGAAGACCTCATTGTTTGCCTTTTGTCTGGCCCTTCGGTTGCTCTTTGCTTTCACCGACTCTGCAACAAGTTTAGCTCAACTTCCTGTGCTCGACCCGAGATAAACATATCAAAACCAAGTTGGTACCCATCAGCCACTTCGCCTGCCTCCTTAAGTAGACATTTGTCGTGAACTATCTCGACAGTTAAGTTTCAGGTGTGGTTTAAGGGCGAATTTCATGTGTACCCCCGGATTGCACTCCAACATAGCCCCACTTGGGGCATGCGTGGTCACATAAAAGCCGTGGCACACGGAATATGGCCGTCTGCCATTTAGCTTGAACATCATGCTCTTATTGCCTTGCTCTTGTTTGAGAGTCTGTTTGACGGAGCGATTTACTTGAGGTGGGGGGGGGGAAGAAGGAAAAGGCCCCGAAAACAAACAAGCCAGTGTGTCGGAAGGCTTGTTGAAGAAGAAGGCTCTTACAGCCTGTTGAACAGAGGGCATCGTTTGTCGGATGGTACCTTTGACAGTGACAACGCGATCATAAGGATGGGGTAATGGTTCACTTTTGTCTCAAAATAGGCACTCCCCCTCCCCCCCACAAAAAGAAAAGAAACAAACATGGTGGCTTTAACCGGGAAGAGCATTATAATTTTGATTTTGGGCCCACTATTTTGAGACAAGATGCTTTGGCACCACGTCCAATGTGCCAATTCGTTTGGATGCTGTCAGGGACCGTTTGGCAGTGCACGGAGCCGGTCCATTTGCTTTGGCATAGCGTTCAGTGCTCTTCTTCGCCTCGGCAAATCGCTAACCCACGAGGGGCTCTTTTCGGCAGAAAGTCACCGGAGGTGATCGGCAGAGGTAAGCTGTTAATGATCCTTGTAACCCCGCTTCGGGGAGTTTCAGGGGCAAATGGCCTATTCGCAGCCAGACCTACTAGCCACTTGCGTTCAGTATCAAACCGATTGCCCGAAATAGTCATCCCACATCTTCTGCCCCCGGAAAAGTCCTCCAAGCACCCCCTGGCTTCCAGCCTGCCGCAAATTCATGGCAAATCGAATTCAGCAATTTGGGTGTGTCTTAAATCGGTAAGCACTAAGGGCTGTTTCCTTCCGGTGTCCCTCTGAAATTCAGATGACCATTGTCTAAGTATGTCTTAAACTAGGAGGACCCCAAAGCAGCGTTCTCCTTGGGGGTTTCTCTTCAAAGCAACCCAAAAAGGGTTTCCGTCTTGTCAAGAAAGACTACCTGAACCCTCGAACTTTTTTTTTGAAAAATTGGCGGTTGCCCCAAAATTACGGGGTTGATTCCTTTTGGTATGGCTAGTTTGAGGGTCCGTCAAGACGAGCCACTTTGGCCTCCCGACTCTTTGGGCCACCCAGGTGAAGCACACCGATATGTCCAACGAGATGAAGACGGAGGTGGTGGATATCATCGCAGGCCTGGGCAAGGTTTAAGCGAGCTGAGTCGCGAGGAAGTCGGGTTTTACTGGGCTTTCCCTTACATCCCTCAGTTGTTCAGTGGCACCAATTAGTTCCCTTCTTTATTTTGGTGGCTTTTTCCCACTTAAAAGGGTCCAAGCCCCAAAAAGGATTCCCTTTTTTTCTCCAGGGTCACTGAACAACTGAGATCCAGTTTGGGAATGTAGTAGTTTGCCCAGAGGCCATGGATCCATTCCGATTTTCCACGGGTTCCTGATGGCTGCCTGGCGGGTACCAAGCGGTGAGGACCGCCCAACTTCAAAGGCCCCCCCCGCCCTCCCCAGGTTAGTGAGTTACTTGATAGACTTCCCACAACGGAGAAAGGTTTTCTTAGAAATAGATATCACTGGATCAGATAGGTGTTATTCCATTTACCAGGGCCATGTTTTTTCCACAAGGTCACCCAACTCCAACCCTATCTCTTAACATAGCCCTCACCCAAGCCCTACCCCCTGTCTCTCCCCCCCGGCCCCCTTGTGGGTGAGATGCGCGTAGGCAACATCGACAAGTTCACCCTCCCCACGGGCGTGAACTTCGAGGGTGCGACACGGGCCATCAAGGACTTCGCGGCGAAAGCGAACGCGGGCGCGCGCTTTCGCGGGCGAGAGAGGGATGTGTGGGTGGTTTGAAGGGTGCTGGGGTTCAGGGACACAGGGAGGGTGTGGTTCTTTTTCTGAAAGGCAGGGTGTTGTTTTGTGTTTGTTGTTTTTGAAAGGCTGGTTTGAAGGAAGCCAAAGGAAACCTACAGTATCAAATGAGGCGGTTAGCATGAGGGGACGCGCAACGATCCATGTAATTTGAAAGAAAGTGCGGGTTTGTCAGCGAATGGAATCTAGGCAACTGTGAGTTTCAACACATGTTGCACCATGCAAATGACTGGTAGTCTCTCGTTAGTTTTTTCGGGGGGGACCCACCACATTTTTCTGAAGCCCGAGTTTCTGGACTTGACGCCCCAAATTGGCTTCAGTGTTCCTTTTTTGGTTTTCCTGTAAAACCAACAGACAAAACGGTACCCTTAGCAAACCGATCCCCTGACACCTGGTGTTCGTGTGGTTGGGCATGGCCCCTCGACACCAACCAATATTCTTTGGGTCCCCCATTTTGAGACACCCGTTTCAGCGGAGACTACTTCACTCACTTCGCGAGGCCCAAAAAAGCAACCGAACTTTTCACCAAGACAATGGTCTTCCCGACAAGGTAAAATCTCACGCGCCGACCCGAGTCGGCGAGGATGCCTTGGACAAGGGCTACGGCTTCAACTGGCACTGCGCCATGGGCAAGGGGCAGCTCAGCTCGGAGGAAACCAAAAAACCGAAATGGGTGTCAGTCAGGGAGGGTTATAGTTGTGGATGGTTGCGAAATCCATTTCACACCACGTTTCTGAAACCCTGGAATGATTCGATTCTCCAACATAGGTACCAAGAAACGTTATGGTTTCAACCATGGTTCCAAAGTGGTGCAGGGTTTCCTCCATCCACAGTAGGTGTCGTTTTCAAGTCAGTTTGGTTGAACCAGATGGCACTGGCTGCAGGTTGGGATTTATTCCATATACCAGTGCTATTTGTGTCCAAGCAAACCAACCCTGATCAAGAACTATGCTCTTATCCTGGAGATTCATTCTCCATGAATTTCTTGGTAGTTCTCGTCTTTAGCTTGCTTTTCCCAAATCTCGATGCTTTTTTCGAGAAGTCGCCTAAAACTACTAAAACTTCTATATATGTTCGTGAGATTTCAGAACTGACCCCTTTTTTCGTTTTCCCCGCCCATAATTACCCGCAAAACGCCCGCAAAACCCCTCAAACGCCCGCAAAGCAGAACAAGACGTTTTTTGGGTTCGGGGGTCGCCCAAAACTCCTAGAAACCATTTAGAACGCCCAACGCGCCCAAAACTACCAGGAAACCAAAACGCCTAGGAAAAGGCCGGAGAATGAATCTCCAGGATGGTGAATTACTCCCCTAATTGACGGAACAGGGTGCCGCTTCCTTTTCAAATACTGATGGGTGCTTTCTTCATTCCATGTTAATTTGTAGGGGAGTAATCACTTGGAAGGCCTTCCATTGGTATCGACGTGGTTGCAATTCCCATGCAGAGATGTTTTTCGTTTACGAGTGGAGCGAATGACGAGACATCTTGAGTATAGTGCAATCTAAGGGTGTCAACCATGAGGTTCCTTTGAACAGCCCAGCGGGGTGCATGAGTCATGCGTGTGCAAAGTTGGGACAGCCAATATGGACAACCAGAGTGGCCAATTTTTCAATCTCGACCGCCCAGGTAGTTTGCCCAAGAACGTTTCAACCTGTTCCCGGACACTGAGCCCCATGTGTTTGTCCTGCTTCTCGGGATTAGGAAAGACAGGCGTTAAGCAAGCAATGATTCCGACGGGAAACACAAAGCACATATGCAGACTATCCAATGCAGAGCAACGTTGAGATCTTGTTTTTAACTTGTTACATATTAAGCTTCACTCAATAAGGACTACTTGTGAAACCAAGACCGGGGAAGAGCAGTGCTTGTCAGGGCCGGTGTGAGGTTTGGTCATGTCCAGCGACATGGGGGACTCGCTCGAAGGCTTCCCACAAAAATAACAGAAAGACTGACCGCATGCCCCATGTGGGTGTTTTCTAACGGGACCCCCTCTCAACAAAAAAGAAGAGTTGTTCTTTTGGTTTCCCTGCAAAACCCACCAACAAAAACAAAAGAATTGGGATCTCAAAACCCATAAACGGGCTCTCTCAAAAAAGAAAAAACGGTTTGCTCTTTTGGTTTATTTTCCAAGCCCACCAAAAAAGCGCAGGTACCCTCAGAGAAAAGCCGAGCCCTGCCCTTTCGTGGAGACCAGACCGGCTTCGCTGAGGTTCTGCTTCGATGTGACAGCACAGAACGGCACGCTGATGCATTGCATCTTGGCCGTGCTGCATCGTCTGTGCTGTATGCCTGGAGTCTCCACGACCCTTAAAAAATGGGGTCAGTACTCAAAATGCAGGGGTCATGAGCCCCGGCTTGTGGGGGGTAAAACGGGGTCGTTGAGTACCTCCTTGGACCCTCTGGGATGGATCATGGACCCTTAAAAGGGTCATGGAGAGTCTAGGTGCCTGTTTTTGCCTAGGGCCCGACAACCGCGCCGTCAACTTTTGATATATGGTTTGGGTCCTTGCACGCAGTTGCGCCTTGGGCGAATCGACCTTCGAAGCTTTTGGTCTTCCCTTTTTGGTGCATGTTGGTCGCGGCCCCAAAGCTGAAGCTTCTGCTTCTGCTGAAGCTTCTCTTTCTGGGTCCTTTGAGTAAGTGAGTGTATGTGTCTATATATATATATATGTATGTGCTTGTACGCGCTGTATCTTGTAGCGTGTATCTTGCATCTTGTACGTACTATGTTGTATTTGGAACATCATGTTGTGTATTGCATTGTGCATGGTGTTGCTCGCTCATGGACTTGTGTAATTAGGTGTTGGGTAGGCACCATCTGCTTTGCTTGGTTGTTGTGAGGAAATATACTCTTGGTAGTTTGGTTCTCTTGTTTGTAGCCTTGGCGTAGACTGTTGCCAAGGTGTGTTTGATGTTTGAAAGCTACTCTTCGGCAGGATGGGATTGCAACACATGTGGACTACACGCGGCAGGTACTTGTTGGTAGGTGAGAGAATCATCGCCAAGGAAGGCCTCTCGGCCTTCCCGTGGTTAACTCAAGTGACATGGTTCCTGTCTGTCTCTGCCATGGAAGATCGAATTACTCCATAGGGTGGATTTGTGAGTCGCCTTTTTGTCATTGTCATTTCTTTTTGAAAAAAAAAACAACATGTCCATTACATGAACATGTCGTGTGCCAAGAGATCCTGCGAGATCTGGGCAACGGGCGATGGCAGTAGAGCTTCTGCCAGCACTTCTCAAAGGCTATTACCAGGGCGAGCTCGCCATCTTGGTCTACAAGTGCTGAGGCTGCTGTTGTTGGAGTCGAGAGCGAGAGAGAGAGAGGCACAGAGAGAGGGAGAGAAAGGCAGAAAGGAAAGAGTAAAGATAGAAACGAAAAATAGGCCCAGGAAGAGAGAACGAGCGCGAGAGAGAGAGAGAGAGAGTGTGGCAACCCACTCTCCGCCATTGTTTGTTCCTGGAATCAACGCGATTGGTTTTTGCCCTCAGCGTCGGCCTTCATATTCCCCCCCCAAACAAAAAACCAAAAAGAAAAGATGCCCCCCCCAGAAGCAAGTCGGGGTTGGGTGTCGGAATTATCAAAAGGTTGTTGGCTTGTGTCCAGGTTTGTCATGTGTGTCATGTGCATTTTCCCTTTCAACCACACTCACGTTTGCGCCCAAAGCGAATCGACCGGATCGAACCTTGGCAACTGTTTTCTTACAAGTTCCAAAAGGTGATCGCCGTTTATTTGTGAATCCCCCTTTGAGACCAGCAATACGTGAACTAGTTGCATTTATTTTGGCCTGGCTTTGTGAGCTAGATGCGTCCAGGCATGAAACTGCCGCGGTGCTTGACTCTGAGAGGCCATGGATTTGTGTCGCCGTCGGTCTTGAGAACCTTCAAGAGCTACACAAAGAAAGGAAGGCCGGTGGACTAGCACAGTCACAGTGCCTTGTTTGTGTGTGTGTGTGTTTTGTGGGTAAAGTATTGAGGAGTTAGCCAGGGTTTTAGCAAGCTCCACACAAAATGAAGATATGCGTTCTACCTAGAGTCTCCATGACTTTTTAAGAATGGGGTCATTACCCTAGATAATGGGGTCATGGACCTATTTTTAGCGGGTCATGGAGACTCCAGGTAGACATTCCTTTTTCCCCGCCTGTTGGAGAATTGCAAGCAAAGAATTGTCCGAAGACCTCCACGGTCCGCCGCTCACACCATGCTTATACGAGCCACAATCACAACCGATTCGGGTAGATGATCTGGTTAGTAAGGGACAATCCCCTTGCCATAAATAGCTGCGGATATCCGCCTTCTGAATTCTTTACATGGTTCTGGGTAGACCATTCTATTACTGGGTTTTGATGATGACTCATATTGGTTTCCCACCAGCATCGATGACTACGGTTGAGGGGCACACTTGCCCCCCTGTGTGCCCCAGATCACCATGATGGGTAAACAAGTCCGCTTGACCCTTTGGGGTTTCCGCATTCCCCGTTTAGCCAGCAAAAGGTTCACCAACCTGAAACATGTACCCTCAAAAAGGCTTGATAGTTAAATCGGGCCAACAGCTCATGCTCAACACCTCCAAAAAGGCAAATCACCTGTCGCCCAACCGTTCAATCTCTTGAGCTGGCTTTTGTTGTTTTCACTTGGTGGCCGGAACCAACAGAAAAGATGGAAGCTTCGAATCTGTTGGCTCTGAACCGGGGTGTTAAGAAGGTACCCTCGAACAGGGCTCACTTCTTGCGGCTCACATGGCCCGAAGGTTCAGACTGTGCTCAGTCGGTTTCACCCCGAATTCGGAGCTTCAGTTTCACCGCACGACGGGCCGAGAAGTTCGGTCTTAAGGCTTCAGGGAAAAGGGGTGCGGAGCGGAGGGCCGGTGTCCGAAGCCCGAGGAGGGTATGGCCGTGGTGGTCAAAACCAATGGTATCCCATGTTGGGGTAGGTGAATCCACCACCCATTTTAGGCTTTATTTTAGTGGGGATTGGGATGTTCACTGGGGGTACGGGCTTTTGACCCATGGCCATATGGATTCAGCGTTTTTGGGGGATGGCTTGCCCATGGGAAGACCGCAAAAAGAGACCACCACTATTTGGTGTGTTGTTTCATGCTTTCGGTTTTGAGTCCACTTCCTGGGTTTTGCAGGCGTAGTCCATGTCCAGTTGGTTTCTGGGAATATGGTCAACTAGTCAAGGCCCTTGATAGACATGGACCCTTCATATTCCCTTTCGCCTATCCGTGGTAAACCAGCAAAGCTTTGGACTTGAAGCCTGGCCAGGGCTCCAACGGCTCACTTTGGAGATTTTCCTGTCCAACATGGAAGCTGACGTTCGGGACCCGGTCCCTTTAAAAGGAACGTTGGCTTCCAAGAGGTTTTGCTTTTTTTTGTCAGGTTCCAGAGGTCTTTGGTGGCAGGGTAGAGTGCTTTCTTCGACACTGTCTTTTCTTCTGCGCGCGACCCAACAATTTCTGCACTCAAGGGGCAGTTGGTTCATACTGAATGAAACCCGCTTCGTACCGTCTATCGATGAATGTCCTATGAAGACGGGAACAACGGCCTAGCAACTGCAGGATTTAGTCCATCAACCATGTGTTCAGCCCTCCTTTTGACACCTTCCACGACCCTGACAGCTTCAAGGCCCCTACATGTTTGTCAGGAGTGGACATCAGGGTTTAGTTGCCGCTTGTTGCAGATCGACCTGTTTGCTTCAATCTCTTACAACTCTACCAGATACTGTGGATGGTTCTGAAATCCATTTCACACCACTTTCGAACCAAGTTTGAAACCATTGTTTGTTGGCATTTACGTTGGAAATCAGATCATAGGGTGACTTAGGTGCTAAAACGATGTCGTCCACACGGAATCAACAACGGCTTTGCAGATCTAGTCACTGCCTCAACCAGATTCCATCTCTCCGGCACTTCAACGACTCCGAATCCGATTCTCGACACACGAAGCTAAGATCTGCGGATCAGAGGGAAGTTGGTGGTTCGCTGGTTGGTCCAGGGCTTGGGGATGACTTAGGTTTTGGGGTGCTACTGGGGGTTCCGCCTTCTGAGGGGTTTCTATCTCAGTGGAGTTTTCTTATTATTTTAAGAAAAGCCCACAGGCCCGGCCATCCGATATGAAATACCCAGCTCGAAGAGCTACCGCAATGCAAATCGCCTTCAACCAAACGGCAGCGGACCCCTTTGGGTTTGCACTGCGCCATTGTTTCCTTGTCGGGTTCCCACTAAACATGGTGAAGCCCCAAAGGGTTCCCCGGGTCACCTGGCAATTGCCGAATCCCAAAGCCTCAGAATGAGATTCCTCTAAAACTGGTTGATTTGCAGCAGAGGAAGATGCATGCCCATGTCGGGGATGTTTTTTGACATCAAGCCGCCCCCCACCCGGCCAAAAAACAAGAAGGCTCAAAGGTACCTGAAGGCATTTGACTTTCAGAAACACAGCCTATGGCGTTTCCGGCCTCAAGCAAGGGTGGTGTTGCTTTGATTTCCCTTTTAGGCCAACCAGTAAAAAGGGTACCACTCTGACTGGTTGCACGCTTTTAGACCCAAGTAGAGTTGGCTCCTTGGGGACTCGGGTAGACTTGAATCATGGTAGGGACTGGTTAAAAGCCAGCCAAATTCACTCGTTGGTTTCCATGCCTCCCCTGGTTCATTGCCACACATGCCTCCTTCGCAGGAAGCGCCCCGGGCAGACCTCGAGCGCATCCGTCAAGGCAGAGTATTCCAAGACCCTGGGTCGCGGTGCCGTCGGGCCTTTTGTTCTAGGGGTTGATTATTTGTTCATTCTTTTCAACCATCCTTCTTTTCAAAACCAAGCTGTTTCCCTGGGTTTGGATGGCTTCCTGAAAAGAAGGATCTGTGGAACAAAATGGGGAAGGTAGCCCTAGATTTGTAGGCGGTTTTCCTGTTGGTTGCCTTCCATGTGTCCCTTTTGAGCGTTGGGGATACCACTCGGGAAGGGAGACACACCCATCACTCAGGGTCCTTTTCTTGGCTTTTTGGACACCAACCAAACAAGCGTCCTTTTTGGCATGGACACTGGGCATTTGAGACCACAAGGTGCCCCTTTTCTTATGGAAATCCACTGGGTGTTTGGGCACCTGGGGGGGTTCTTTTCCCCGGCGAAAGACCTGCATGGCGCCAGCGAGTAAAAAACAAACGAGCAACGGCATGGGCACGGGCTTCATCCGTATCGTCTCTGAGATGGTGGAAGTGGTTGTGAGCATGAGGAAGGGTTCCTGGCAAATTTGCGGGCTTCCTTTGACCGTTTTCCAGCTTTAGATGGCGGGACCTGGCGTCCATGCAAGCATGCATGTTGTACGAGGATTTGCGTGTTTCATTTCCGATGATTTGTGGTGCTTCAGAAGGTCCAGACTATGGAAAAGGCCTCGAGTGAGGTCTTGTTGGAGATCATGTCCTGGCCATCGCAAAAAAGAGTGGGTATACCCATTTTAGTCTTCCCATGAATTTGGGCTGAAGCATCTGGACATGATCTCACTGAGCTGGACTTGGGGGCCAAAGAAAATAGCCCCAGACTGTTCGTTGACCCAACCGGGAAACTGAAAGGGAAGTGCTGCTTTTGGCGCAGGGCCCTCAGGCATGGGGTCCATCGTAACTTTGGGTATCCAACGAAAAAGATGTAGGCCGTTGTCCGTACCTAGAGTTTCGATGACCATTGAAAACTGGAGTCATTACCCAAAGCAACGGGCTCTTTACCTATAAAGTCGTGGAGACTCCACGTAAATAGTGGGGTCCACGGCATGTTTCGCTTAAAGTAACGGTTCCCAAAAGTAATCAGTGGGAAATCCAAATCTACCATGTGAGCTCATGCACCCCTGCATATGAGCTCTTCCTCCCAGCAATGTTTGCGTTTTAGAGCCTCTTGGCAAAATCAAGCGAGCCACCTAAAAGTGGTGAGACACCCTCTTGCAGTGCTTCCTCACTCGGGTGCGTGCATTATGTGTACCTGCCCAAAATGGTGGCTCTGCTTTCACCAGCCCAAAAAGGGGAACCTCAAAGCATCCACACCCATTTATTGAGTGGCTGGTGGATCTCCAAGCCGCCCCCCCCGATAAGAGAAAGAAGAACAAGACAAAGAACATGTAAGGAAATGTTGGGGAATGGTCCTTGCGGCCTTTGCTATCCCAAGTTACCTTCTTTTTTTTCTACTGGTTGATTCCCCATTCTTTTCAGCCATCGTTCTTTTCAGAAACCAGCCATTTCCCCAGGGTGTTTTGTGGTTTTCTAGAAAGAAGGATCCCTGGAAAGAATGGGGAAGTTACCCCTTGATTTTTGACGGTATGTGGTGGATCTCAATCATCATCACGAGACTAGGTGGCTGCGCCCCAACAATCGATCGATTTGCTGCTCAACGTAGTATGTTTTCGCCATGGACGAGCAACTGACTGGGGAAAGTACAGCAGACAAAAACGCATTACTTGCAATTGAGGATGCATTAAATGTGTGGGAAACGGCCACCTCCAAACTATTATCTTGTTGTTTTTTGTGTGTGTGTGTGTTGTGTTGTTCAATGCTTGTAAAGAGCCCCCTTAAAAATGGGCCCCGGGCCTACTTCGGGGCCTCGAATTGGCCTCGCCAGACGGTGGAGAGCGAGAAATGCGAGAGCGAGACCAAAGCTGCGGCCCCAAAGAGGCCAAAGCCGCGGGCCGCGGGGCCGCGAGTTGCGTTCCGAATCGACGGAGGGTGCGAAATGGGCGGCGTGTCTACCCTGTCTGCTGTTGGTTGAAAGGGAAACCAAAAGGAACACCGATTTTTCAGGGGCCCCCTTCGTTTTTTCTTCCTTTTTTTTTCTTCGGCAAAACACACACACACACACACTGATATGCATGGGTGTGTCTTAAAATTGAGGACCCAGAACAGTGGTTGGTTCTCCTTTTGCTTCCCTCCAAGAAGGAAACCGAGGCTTGAAAAAAGACGCGCCCATGGTGGTTCTAGAACATCACCTTGTTGGTTGCCAATGTTGAGCGAGGTTCCGTCTGGCGGGGTGATGTTAAGGGAATCAGATACGGAACCCTGTGTTTGTCTGGTGCCCCAAAAGTGTTTTGAATTCTGAGTTTGGGTCAACATGTCCCGTCGTATGTGATCGATTGGCAGGGCTATAACTCTCTCCATGTTTTTTTCCACAAAAGCAGTCTGGAATAGCATAATATGGACCTGTCTCATTTGTCGTCCAATATGGTCTCTCGATGGTGTACGGCTGATTCCCAAAATGGCAACGGGAGGAAGTCCAGGATTCTCCGTGGAGGTTTCCGGGGCTTCCATTAGGTTCCCGCTCGGCCTGGGGCTCGACGGGTCAATCCAGTGGCTTGCCGCCGTGCTTTTGCCGGAAAAATTGATGGACCTTGCTCGGGGGGAGATGAGGTGCCCTCCCACCCCAAAAAAAAATCGAAAAGCAAAATGTGGTTGGTGTATGTTGGTTTGCTCGTGAAGGAAGGAACCATGCCTCAACTCATTCTGCCTCAGGATAGTGTCATTTTCCGATTTGGAGGATCGATGCTAGTGGGGAGGTTGATTAATACATTGGGCCATTCCTTGCATTAGCTTGGCCCTCGTGAAAAATTCCGAAGGTCGACCTCAGCATGGACGTTTTAGAGCTTTGCACCCTGAAACCAGCTTGCAATGGACCTTTTCATTCCGCCCTCGCACCAAAAACCGGGAGCCAGGGGCTCCGTGGCATCCGCAACCCTCTCCCGCCGTGCCTGAGGAAACGGATCTTCATCGAGCAG